CTTAATGCCAGCCCACCATACACACACACTCACACATGCACATACTTCATCCTTGACCACTAAAGGGTGTCAGGGCTGTAACTAGCAGGATGGTTGCCTGCCGCTCGTTTGCTTGTTCGCGTCCCCCACTTGGTGGGGTAGACGGAGGTGAGAATGTCATTGCGTCATCAACACACATCAGACACTACCCAGTAGGGTGTGTCATAGGAGGGAAGATCAGCTAAAACTAATGGCCCATCACTTTTTTGGTAGATTTTAGTGTGTATAAACAAGAAAATAATTTCAGTTTCAATATTTTGCGACCTTTTGCTAGGTAAATTTTAGCGTGAAATTTATCGAAAATCTAACGTACAGCTGCATTAATGCATTACAATTAAATAGTGAACATTGCTTTCTGACTTCATTCTTTAACAACCCAACTAACAATATTTTTTTCTGTTTCAGATTCTGATGCATTTATAAGTTAATAATATTTGCGATGGCTGCTTGTGTCAGGACGAGGAACCAAAAATCCAGCCATCTCAGTCACTATCTTGGGTCTGGGAGAGAGCTCCTGAAGTCGGAGTTGCCTACATTGAGAGATGCTTTGAGATACGGTGTTTTAATGAGGCAAATCAGTGAAAAGAACCAAAGAACTTACACAAACAAAGACATTGCCAGTGATATGACCAAAGCTGTCTTGGCACAGTACACTCTGGCTAACGCTCAGTTCAAGCCTCCAGTCATAACAAGTCAGAAGAAGATTAGTGAGAGACTGCTAGCCAGTTGGGAAAAGGCAAGAGATATCTCTCTTGGGAGAGGAAAACTTGCAGTTAAGGACAGGACAGCTTTGCCAAGCAACTGGACCAGTTATTTAACATAATTACTTGCAAGTGCCCAATTGTTCTCTGTCCTGAGTTTGGATGCGATCGTGACTGTAAATCCGAGGCCCACATCTCCTGTATTTGCAAGCGTGAACTGAAGATTCCTGTGATCGAACTGGCATTTGTCAAAGCACAGAGAGAGAAGACTGGCAGTATAGGGGCTCTCATGATTTCTAGCCAAGATATTCCGGAGTCCAAGAGACAGGAGGCTGCCACAGAGAGACAGAAGAGGAGAAGAGTTGCCGAGGAAAAGAGACTTGAGAAGGCCCAGGGTGAGGTAAAAAAGGCCATGATTGGAGTCAAGCTGATTCAGAGTTTAATGACTTCCCCATGGCTGATCCGAGTGCTGACCAGGAGAATGGTGACTTTGTCCCTAACCCAGAAAATAATGATCCCAAACCTTCCAGGCATAAGATTCGAAATAGGAAAGATATCCCGAGCATAGCTCTGGCCAGCATGCGACACCACACTGGTCTCAGAGAAACTGCAGAGATAGCAACAGCTGCCTGGGTTGACGGTGGTTTGATAACACCTGATGATGTTCACCTGGTGATAGATCATAACAAAGTAAGGAGAGCTCAGGAGAAACTTGTCAGTAACCTAGAAGAGGAGTTTGATAAGGGGTTAAGAGAAAATGGAATCAATTTTTTGTTCTTTGATGGGAGAAGGGATGACACTAAAGTGTTCATGAAAGTTGGAGATTATGACAAGTTGTTCCCTGCCATTGTGAAGGAGGAACACTACTCCTGCTGCAGTGAACCAGGAGGGAAGTATTTGTGGCATTTCACTCCAGACAAAGATTACATCAGGAAACCAGCTGAGATAGTGGCAGATAACATTGTGAACTGGCTCAGAGAGAGGAACGTAGACCAGACCCTGCAGGCCATTGGAGGGGACAGCACCAACACGAACACAGGGTGGCAAGGGGTGGTCATACAGTTGATAGAGCGGAAGATTGGGAGGAAGATGGTCTGGATTGTTTGTGACCTCCACACCAACGAGTTGCCACTCAGACATCTGATCCAGGAGCTGGATGGCAAGACTCTTTCAAACAACAGATGGTCTGGTCCTCTTGGCAAGATGCTGGACTCTGCCACTGAGTTAGAAATAAATCCGAGCTTTGAAAAAATCACAGTTGGCCCTCCACTCGTTGAGCTTGCACATACTGTCATTGACGACCTGAGTACTGACCAGTACTATAGTTACATGATTTGCAGTGCCATCAAAACTGGGGTTATGCCTGATAGACTTGCTTACCTGCAGATAGGTCCAATCTCACATTCTAGGTGGCTCACAACGGCTCTCAGGTTCTGCAGAATTTGGGTCGCTCATCATAAACTGAAAGGGAACCAGCTTCACAACCTGAGACTTATTGTCCAATTCATCGTGTCTACTTGCCAAATTGGTTCAACACCAAGGTCAAGTCATCGTTCTCTGAAGGTCCGAGGCATGTTCTCTTCCAGCTTGAGCTCCTGAGGAGTCAGCCAAGGAAGGTTGTTCAGATTGTGGAGCAGACTGTGAGGAGATCTTCCTGGTATGCTCATCCCGAGGCAGTTCTGCAGACAATGCTCTGCAGTAAGGATGAGGAGGAGAGAAGAGTGGCAGTCAAAAAGATCTTGGATATGAGACTTATGAGAGGATCTGGGCATGACGAATCAGTTGGTGATGATTCCTTCAGGGTCAGGAAGACTCCTGAAGTCAATCTAGGTGCCAAGACCCTCACTGATCTCATAGATCTGGATAACATCCAGGCTGGCAGTGAGCCCCTCTTACCTGCAGCCTCACCAATGTTCAAGTCAGAGCTTTCCTGGACAACCCCATGCATGTCCCTGCCTGGCCCTCGCACACCCAGAGTATAGAGCGTTGTGTACAGCAAGTGAGCGAGGCCAGCAGTCACGTGTACAGCCAGGAGAGGAGGGAAGGCTACATCCGAGCTTAGGTGGTCAGCAGGGAGGTGATGAGTAGAAACAGAAGCAAGAAAGACATGTTCTCTATGGTGTGCAGCAACACCGGGTCGTAGTAGTAAATCCGGTTTTTGTATTTGATGATTTTGTTTTCTAAAGGAATATTAAATTTAATAAATGTGTCAAGATCATTCGTTTCACTATTCTGGATCATTTTCATCCTAATAAATTAACTTGATACATTTACTTTACTTTAAATAAGCTATTTAGTGGTGTTGGTAAAAGGGTGGGAATACTGAATTTTCATAAGATTTCAAGTTAAAATTTACCTAGCAAAAAATGAACACTTTTCAAATCTGAAGATATCACATGATTCTGCACATAGAACTACATCATTAATACCATGGGCCGATTTTTCAAACTCAAAAAAAAAAAAATTCGCCTCCGTATGACACACCCTACTACCCAGTCGTCAACACAGCTGTACTTGCACCCAGCTGTTCGTTCAAATTCTGGTTGAGTTCTCATCTGAGGTCCTGGACGCGTGGGCTGATTCCCCAGACCTTTACTACACGGCTCTCAATCTCCGGACACTTGCTCCAGCTTCTACCGCGGCTGCCACGTCATCGCTACTTCCTCCACGCCCCCTCCACCGTCTGTGCCCGGGCGTCTCACCTGTGTAGCAAGACATCGCCCGTCGGCGCGAAATGAGGAAGGTGCCTTAACCTTTCCCACCCCGAGAGCTGATCACTGCTTTACGGAACCGTCCACCGGGTCACCGCCTTAAGAAATATTGTTGACTCCCATAATTGTTTGACTCTAGTAATTGTTTAATTCTCTTTATTGTTTGACTCCTTTATCTGTTTGACTCCCGTAATTGTTATTTGATATTTGTGTGAGTGGTGTCAGAGTTTTGTATTATTTTCATAGTAAAGAGATGTCAATCTCGAACCGTTGTTTGTTTTCCCTCAGAAAACCATGGTTGTTCATTTTCATTTATATAAGATCCGACTTAGGCTGGCAAGGGATTCATATCCCTAAGTCCCAGGCCTTTACAAAGGGTCAAGTCGAACCTGGCGCTACTCTGGGAGCAGCCAGGTCACCTGTTAAGTTGGCCCATAACAGTCCCTACCCTGAACCCCTCCTTCCCACCGAAATATCAACAAGTTCCCACCAGAAGTTGCAATTTCATTTATCAAAGGAATGGAACCAGTGTTGAATAGAGATGAACAGTGGTGAATAGTGCGTAAATCAAAGAAAAAAACTCGACGTTAACTGTGGAGTCATACCCATGTTAACCTTCACACAGTGAGGTCCCAGATACCCAGTGAGACCCAACAACAACTAGCGCTGTGTTAATCCGTCCACGATAGGAAGGCCTCACTCATTTAACGCAATCTGTGAGGGAATTACTACACCACGTGATGCCCCCTCATAACACCATCTGTGAAGGAGTTACTACATCACGTGAGGCCCCTCATAACACCATTTGTGAGGGAATTACTACACCACGTCAGGTCCAACATAACACCATCTATGAGGGAATTTCTACACTAAGTCAGGCCCCTCGTGACACCTTCTGTGAGGGAATTACTACACCACCTGATGTCCCTTCTAACACCATCAGGGAGGGAGTTACTACACTACGTGTTTGCTGTTCAAAACTTACATTAATCTGTATGTTCACTGTATGTTCTTTTACCTTTCTCTAATGAAGGCCTTTGTTAAACCACCAATGTATGAAATAAGTAATTTATGTCCAATGTATATTTTAAGCCTTCGGGCTGCATAACTTTTTCAATAATCCGTTTATTATTATTATTGTTATTATACACACACACACCCACACACACACACACACACACACGAATATGGACGCTTCTCTGTTATTCTTCAAGCAAAAATCTAATTGTATGTCTCCGGATTTATTATAATGTTGATTACTTCATTCGTCAGTAAATAGTGTTCCAAAAATCTGATGTTAACCTCTGACAGGCTATCACGTTCTCATATCATAATGTTAACAAAAAGCGTTCCCATATCTTAATGTTAACACTTAATTACTTTTTACATAAGCGTCATAATTTTAATTGAATCAATTATTTTTATGACGAGTATTGCTTAAAGGTGAGTAGAGGAGTAGAGGGTACCTGACACCACTGAATAATAATAATAATAATAACGATGATAGTAATGATAAAAGGTCGTTTCTTCCAAAGTTTATTAACTTCCTCCTAAGTTTTTACAATACATTTTTTTAGTTGTATGAAAGTAAATCGTTTTCATTAGAATAGTGATAACATTTGTTGCTCCTTATCTGGGTCAATGTGAATCATTAACGGTGGCAGGCAGTGCAGCTTGAGGCTATGACCTAGATCGAATACCTCTTCAGTGACAACAAACATTTGTATGTTGCTGCATGATCGAGTTACACATAAGGTTAAGCAGCATGGTTATTTGGTCAGACAGCACGTCCTCTCCTACGTGATGGTTGTCTGTACACCCAAGGTGTTCACTGGTGTACACGGAGCTGTCCACCAGCCCTCGACGGTACAGTTCTTCACACTCACTGATCCCCGCCAGATTGAGCGGCACACCAGTGTCCCACCACCATACTCCACCACCTGTCACTCTGGGGTCCAAATGGTCTCTGTTGGTCCTGGTTGTTTTTGGTCTCACAGTGTTGGTCGTAGGACCCTGGGGGACGGGGAAGTGTTGTTGTAAAGACCCAGTAATGGGTGTTGTAAAGGAGTAGGAGACGTGGGGCGTGTCAGGAGAAAGGTGGTGGTCTTTATACTGACGGAGATAATATTGGAACAGCATCTCGCTCCAATCGAAGGTGGCATCCCCTAAGAGTGACGCCTTGTTGTAGAGTGTTCCAGTAAGACTGTGCTCCCTGTAGCGACCCTGAGACACCACCAACACCCGTGTCCTCTGAGCGATCTGAAATCAAAATAATTTTCACGGAACTTTGTGTCTGTGGTTACCGTGGCGGGGTACCAATACACTGAGTTTGCCTTCCAAAGTCGAACTCCTAAGAAGACAGTGTGTGACTAATCCAGTGTGAGACAGTTGTAGTTGTACCACCGTATCCTGAATGATTTGCCGTAAAACGCAAACAATTTTATAGTTATTAAGATGAAATTCATAAATACCCTACTGGTTAACTGATAATTACCAGACTGAAGGGAGAGATGTATAGTACAGTGCCAGTTGTGTTTCAACCTGTTATAATTTCATGTCTAAACGAGAGACATACAAAAGATAAAAATGAAAAGATTGATTGAAAAGGAATGGATGAAAAGGTGACATAGTGAATTGGTTAATTCAAGTTCGAGAAAAAGTGTATTGAAGGAAAAGACATTTAAAGATAATGGTGAGGATGAGGAGGTGAGGGAGCGACCAAAAGGACTTACTGACCTGGTGTAGGAGAGGGACGACCTGTTGATGCATCTCTCTCACGACCTCCATCACGTCGGAGGTGTAACTCATATGTAGTATCATCCACGACGTGTAGCCTGAGGAAGTGGACGAGTATAATACACCCTATCTCTCATCTGTCTTACTCTCTCCAATTATACATCAATCAGTGTTATACCTGGTGTTGCCTGAGGACAGATGTACCTTATGGTGGGTGTGAGACAATCTGCCGTCATTGAGATGTTTAAAATGGTAAGATAAGAATAATGATAAACTAACCATGTTGCTATACACTTGTACACATATGACAAAAAAATATCTAATTTCATTATATACATACTATATAAAGACAAATTAAGAGCATTAAGTCGATTTTCAGATGCTATCTCTTCGATAAGCTTGGGCGCGATTGGTGAATTACGTTAGATTTTATTAGGTTTGGTTTAACATCAATAAACGGGTGTGTACTCCTTTTTGTTCTCACACAAAATATGTACAGTACATTATTGTACAGTACACAAGACAATAAATATCTATCATGATTTTACTTAGTGTGTAAATATTTTTCATGTTTAAAACAGAATACGGAGACAATATTATCACACCTGCTTATTCAGACAGCAACTGAAGCTACGCCAGACGAGCGCTCGCCCGCCCCCTACCTGCAGGTCTTACAAAAGAGTCTACCTTATAATATCATGGTTTTAAAGTCTTACCTATTATAAGGATGTGAGGGAGCGGGTCCTCCCCCCTGGCCCACCGACTTAGTTGTCTCAGTTCCTTGGTCTCTTGAACCTTGGACGGCGTTACCTCCATGAACGTCCTGAAACTGTGACCCAATTACTGACGGCTGTGTCTTTGACACCAACACCAACAACGGTGGTAACAACAACAGTGCTAACTACAGAAGAGATAACATCAGCATCAACTTGAGAAATAACTGAAATAATCTCAATAAGTCGGCGACAGTCAGGCAGGGAATAGAGTGACAGTAGCTAACAGTAACAGCTACCACTCGTACAGCTGAGACTATCAACAATGAATTATTCTTAGACCAGCTGCAGGAAGTAGTTAACAGCAGACAGTGGAGAACAGCAGCAGAAGCAGTGCTAACAGTAAAGCTGTGAGTCATGAGGGTCACGCACTAAAAAACAGGGAGTAAAAAATATATTAGAAACACTATTTCAACATAATTAAACATCACAAAAGATGTTAAGTAGGACAAACCCAACACATAAGAAAACTTATGCAAATAATGATTATAAACAGCGTAAACATCACATTTAAGAAACATTTCCCAGTAACCATTAGAACATCACATATATGATACATATTGTAAAATTAACCATTAAAACATTCCCAGGATAATCTTCACATCACTCAGTAACCATGAGGCACCATCCCAACATCAGTAAACACTCCCGCCAGACCTGAAGGAGACACGGAGGCGCGGGTGTACAGGTGTGGCGGCCTCCATGTCGGTGTGTAGCTTAAAGGTGGTCCTCCTCATCTCCTCGTAGCTCATGGTTGTGTTCTGCGGCCACCAGGGATGACAACTATGAGTTTTTATATTTATTAATAAATATATTTATATGTCAAAAGAGAAAGAGAAAGAGAGTTGTATATAAACAGTCAGTGAGAATATTCAGAAGTATCAGTGACTCACCAGAAGGTGGATGAGGTACCGATATTCACTGTCGGTTCGCTGAAGATACTCATAGAACAATGCCCTAATTTTTGAGTCGCCCAGAAAAGCGATCCAGAAGGAATTGTTGTTCTTGAGTCTGTGGGCGAAGCAGGCGGTGACGGAGGGTGGGTGGTCAAAGGGCACTATGGCACAGGGCACGTAGGGCAACACTCCGCCGTTGACATCAATCCTACTGTTGAGGTGGAGGATGGGTGTTTGACCTTCCTTCCTGTGATCATCCTCTTGACTCTTGTTAGTGTGGTGTTGGAAGGTTAAGAGTGTAGGAAGCAGCGCCGCCAGACTACGATAATCCTCGGTAGAAGCTCCTGACGACGACGACCTCTTCTGCAGCAGGTGTTTCACCTCTTTGACAGCCGCTGACAGGTGTTGGTCCCCCCGTTGGTGTAGCGGCGTCCATCTGTCGCTCAACAAGCTGCTGTTGTCTGCAGAATATTGTAGCAGGTGAGCAGCGAAAAGTGTTTTTTCATTTGGCACCCCAGTGATGGTGAAGAGGGAGCGACACCTGTTTACTGACACACCTGTCTGGCCTGTTTCGCCACGGTAAACAAGTGGTCCTCTCCTTTGCTCACCAGCCTCCTCACTATATATGTCACCATGTTTGTCACTCTCCTTTACATTATCCTCTTGGTAAACGCTCACCAACAAAACGAAAATTATTACTGACGCTGTAACACTTGTTTTATTACAACACTTTTGTGTAAGATTTGTTTGTAGCACAAAGACCATCTTCCTCGAGCAGGGGTTAACCGTTTGGAGGGCAGTGTCGCACTTAGGTATTATATTCTGGTTGACGCCAGAAGATTTTATTCAGCTGAGAGTAACCACTGCCACTCAAAGGGTTAACAGCGACACACAGTGAGGTGAACACGAACATTCTCCTCACACCTTCAATATAAACACAAACTTTTCCTCTTCCAGTGTTCGTTCACCTGGGCCTCACTTATACTTATCTAGTTGCTGAATTTAGATGAAATTGTTTTACAATAATAACAAGAGTGACTCAGACATCATCAGTGAATTATGACAAGAGAGATAATGTATGAGTGTGTGACTTGTGTTGTATGTTGAGCCGGACGGAGGCAGCGGCCACCCTTACCACACACCGAGACAAGTGCAGCATGTTGTCGCCTCAGTCGCCTCACAGCCACGTCTCAGCCTCGGAAACAACTCAATTTATCACTTTAGAATTTCCTATAATTTTCCTTCAAATCTAGTATGTCCGTCAAAATCCAAAATGACCACTTCAATGCAGTTCATTTACATTGAGATTCTATACCTTTTCTTTGTCTCGGTTTGTATATTTGTCTAATGTAGAGATTTATTACATGAAAAACTAAATATTTTCACAAGAATACTTAGTAACGTTTAAGTTAGTTTATACAGACAAATGTAATACGGTATATTGGCCAGGTTCTCCCTTACACCTACACGGTACACCTGCACCTTACACCTACACGGTACACCTACATAGTACACCTGCACGGTACACCTGCACCTTGCACTTACACAGTACACCTACACGCTACACGTATGCAGTACATTTACACGGTACACCTGCACGGTACACCTACACGGTACACCTGCACCTTACACCTACGCGGTACACCTACATAGTACACCTGCACGGTACACCTGCTCCTTACACCTACACAGTACACCTACACGCTACACGTACGCAGTACATCTTCACGGTACACCTACACGGTACACCTACACGGTACACCTACACGGTACACCTACACGGTACACCTACACGTTAAGTTGCGATATAAACTAAAAATAACTATTTATGGTTGGAGTTTCCTTGACATCAGTACAGCATCACTTGTACCGACCCGTGGCGACCCTTTTTTGCCACACACACACACACACACACACACACACACACACACACACACACACACCCTGGACAGGCTACAGGCATGGACTACGGAGAACAAGGTCACCATCAACCACACCAAAACCGTTGTCATGCACATCAATACCGCCACCACTCCAGTGCAAGCCCCAGCAGTCACAGTGGGTGCCCATCCTCTCCAGCTGGTGCAGTCTGCCAAACTCCTGGGTGTAACTATAGACAACAAACTTGACTGGAAGGCCCATATAAATAACATAGTCAAGGCAGCCTCGTACCGTCTCTACATGCTACGAAGACTTAGGTCACTTGGGACACCCACGCCAGAGCTGAGGACCATCTACAACGCCTTTATTCTCCCCAAACTAACGTATGCGTCACCAGCCTGGTCGTCTTCTCTCAACTCCACCCAACAACGCCAGCTAGAGAAGGTACAGAAAAGGGCCTGCAGAATCATGCTCGGCGAAGAATACTCCGGCTACACCAACGCTCTCTCCACCCTGGAAATGACATCCCTCAGTGACCTCCACCACCACGCACTGGAAAGGTTTGGCCGTGGACTACTGCACCACCCTCGCCATCGCCACATCCTGCCACCTGCAGCCCCCCACCCAACTCGCGCAGTCCGCCACTACAACAAAAATCAGCCCATAAGAGCCCGCACCGATAGATATAAGAACAACACCATCCCATCTATTGTTAAAATAATAAACAACTCCTGATTTATGTACTGCACAGCCCTGTAAATGTATTCGATGCATATTACATCATCATGTCTAAATCTAATGTAAGTTTGTATATTTTCAGCCACCGGCTGCAACTTTATTAATAAACCGTTTATTATTATTTTATTATTATTACACACACGCAAGACTTTGCTGTCACTCGGAATCGAATATGACGATCATCCAGCTATGAGAAAGTGATATGAGTTTTTAGGGATGTCACCTTCATTGGTGAGTTTTAAGGTGACTAAAGAGGCCGATTCGGGACCGGCAGAGTCGTTCACAGATGTTGCACATGTAGACGGCCACAAGTAGTGCGGGAGGGGCGGCGGCAGCGTCTTTCCGGCGTTGGCGCTTGTCTGCCTCAGTTTGCAGTCGGACTAATTCGAAAGTTTTGACATCTTCTTGTATGGTGCTCCTACAAGCATTACTGTGTGGAGTAATCGTCTCCCAGGTGAGGGGGTCGATTTAGAACTTTTCCGGTTTGTCTTAAGACTATCCTTATACCTTTTCAGTTGCCCTCCAGTGTTACATTTACTATTCGTTAGGTGACTGTATAGTAGCTGCTTTGGCAGTCTACTGTCGTCCATGCGCGCAATATAGCCAGTCCAACATAGTTGTTCATGGATAATGGTAGCCTCGATGCTCCTGCAGTTGGTGTTAGTGAAAATACTAGCATTTGTTCTCTTGTCTTCCCAGCGAACTCGGAGGATGGATCGTAGACTATATTGATGAAAGTTTTCAAGTGCCTTAAGGTGCCTCTTGCATTAGGGTGTGTCATAGGAGGGAAGATCAGCTAAAACTAATGGCCCATCACTTTTTTGGTAGATTTTAGTGTATATAAACAGAAAATAATTTCAGTTTCAATATTTTGCAACCTTTTGCTAGGTAAATTTTAGCGTGAAATTTACCGAAAATCTAACGTACAGCTGCATTAGTGCATTACAATTAAATAGTGAACATTGCTTTCTGACTTCATTCTTTAACAACCCAACTAACAATATTTTTCTGTTTCAGATTCTGATGCATTTATAAGTTGATAATATTTGCGATGGCTGCTTGTGTCAGAGGAGGAACCAAAATCCAGCCATCTCAGTCACTATCTTGGGTCTGGGAGAGAGCTGAAGTCGGAGTTGCCTACATTGAGAGATGCTTTGAGATACGGTGTTTTAATCAGGCAAATCAGTGAAAAGAACCAAAGAGCTTACACAAACAGTGCCATTATTGCCAGTGATATGACCGTTGCCTGGCATTGTACACTCTCAAGCTAACGCTCAGTTCAAGCCTCCAGTCATAACAAGTCAGAAGAAGATTAGTGAGAGACTGCTAGCCAGTTGGGAAAAGGCAAGAGATATTCTCTTGGAGAGGACTTGCAGTTATGACAGCTTTGCCAAGCAACTGACCTCAGTTATTTGACATAATTACTTGCAAGTGCCCAATTGTTCTGTCCTGAGTTTGGATGCGATCGTGACTGTAACTGAGGCCCACATCTCCTGTATTTGGTAAAGCGTGAACTGAAGATTCTTGTGACTCAAACTGGTACTTGTCGTGCTAATAGAGAGAGAAGACTGGCAGTATAGGGGCTCTGTGATTTCTAGCCAAGATATTCCGGGAGTCCAAGAGACAGGAGGCTGCCACAGAGAGACAGAAGAGGAGAAGAGTTGCTGAGGAAAAGAGACTTGAGAAGGCCCAGGGTGAGGTAAAAAGGCCGATGATGTGAGCCGCTTATCTGCAGTTTCTAATTTACTCATGGCTGATCCGAGTGCTGACCAGGAGAATGGTGACTTTGTCCCTAACCCAGAAAATAATGATCCCAAACCTTCCAGGCATAAGATTCGAAATAGGAAAAGATATCCTCAAGCTCTGGCCAGCATGCGACACCACACTGGTCTCAGAGAAACTGCAGAGATAGCAACAGCTGCCTGGATTGACGGATGTTTGATAACACCTGATGATGTTCACCTGGTGATAGATCATAACAAAGTAAGGAGAGCTCAGGAGAAACTTGTCAGTAACCTAGAAGAGGAGTTTGATAAGGGAATAAGAGAAAATTGAATCAATTGTTTGTTCTTTGATGGGAGAAGGGATGACACTAAAGTGTTCATGAAAGTTGGAGATTCTGACAAGTTGTTCCCTGCCATGGTGAAGGAGGAACACTACTCCTGCTGCAGTGAACCAGGAGGGAAGTATTTGTGGCATTTCACTCCAGAGAAAGATGACATCAGGAAACCAGCTGAGATAGTGGCAGATAACATTGTGAACTGGCCCAGAGAGGAACGTAGACCAGACCCTGCAGGCCATTGGAGGGGACAGCACCAACACGAACACAAGGTGGCAAGGGGGGGTCATACAGTGGATAGGAGTGGAAGATTGGAGTAGCCACCCATTGTTTTAGACCCTCCACACCAACGAATTGCCACTCAGACATCTTGATCCAGGAGCTGGATGGCAAGCATCTCTTTCAAACAACAGATGGTCTGGTCCTCTTGGCAAGATGCTGACTCTGCCACTGAGTTAGAAATAAATCCGAGCTTTGAAAATCACAGTTGCCCCACTCGTTGAGCTTGGCCATACTGTCATTGACGACCTGAGTACTGACCAGTACTATGGTTACATGATTTGCAGTGCCATCAAAACTGGGGTCATGCCTGATAGACTTAATACCCGCAGATAGGTCCAGTCTCACATTCTAGGTGGCTCACAACGGCTCTCAGGTTCTGGTAGAATTTGGGTCGCTCATCATAAACTGAAAGGGAACCAGCTTCACAACCTGAGACTTATTGTCCAATTCATCGTGAGTGTCTACTTGCCAAATTGGTTCAACACCAAGGTCAAGTCATCGTTCTCCGAAGGTCCGAGGCATGTTCTCTTCCAGCTTGAGCTCCTGAGGAGTCAGCCAAGGAAGGATGTTCAGATTGTGGAGCAGACTGTGAGGAGTTCTTCCTGGTATGCTCATCCCGAGGCAGTTCTGCAGACAATGCTCTGCAGTAAGGATGAGGAGGAGAGAAGAGTGGCAGTCAAAAAGAGCTTGGATATGAGACTTATGAGAGGATCTGGGCATGACGAATTAGTTGGTGACGATTCCTTCAGGGTCAGGAAGACTCCTGAAGTCAATCTAGGTGCCAAGACCCTCACTGATCTCATAGATCTGGATAACATCCAGGCTGGCAGTGAGCCCCCTCTTACCTGCAGCCTCACCAATGTTCAAGTCAGAGCTTTCCTGGACAACCCCATGCATACCCCTGCCTGGCCCTCGCACACCCAGAGTATAGAGCGTTGTGTACAGCAAGTGAGCGAGGCCAGCAGTCACGTGTACAGCCAGGAGAGGAGGGAAGGCTACATCCTAGCTCAGGTGGTCAGCAGGGAGGTGA